ACGATCGCTATTTGAATAATACATTTTATGCATTATACAACTTTAAGAATAAAGGTCGCTGCCATTTTTGTTTCTAATAACACTTTCGCAAGTGATATTTATGATAACTTTATGGTCACATACAGGTGCTCATGTTGTCTATGAACCATGAGGTGCAGCCCTGCGACGATTTCTACGAGTTCGTGTGTGGGGGTCTCGAAAAATCTGGGCATTTTGGACACGCTCTCACACACCACGTCCGAATGGGCTACAAGAAGATGCTCCAAGCCTTCCTTATGGCCCCGATCCTCAGCTCGAACCAGACAGCGAAGCAGAAGCTGGGCGCGCTCTTCATCAGGTAAGGATAAATTGACCGGCCCCTTTTAGACGGTGCCAAAGTCGGCAAAGGCTCAAAGCAACATGTAAAGCGATCTCCTACATGTAGCAAACTGAATTGATATTACAATATTACTCAATCCTGAGCTTGGACAGCATTAATTGCCGGTAATTCGGTATAACTATTCTCGGGGTTACATTTCTGTGGCGATTCACAAGTGAAGAGTGTGCGAGACACTATTCGATGGGCGCTCTAGATGCTCGAGTACCAGTGCCTCCTTTGCTTCGCCTGCATGGCCACAGATATTTATCCCGGAGCACGAACGTTTCCAAAAGTTTTTCAGGCTTAGCCTTGGTCCTCTCGCCGAGGTGGGCTGTACCTACTCAGCACCAAGACATTCGTTGCTTGTTGTACAATGTTGCCAATCATCTCTTGCGGAAGCAGACGCCAGTGAGCGTCGACATGCTGTTTGAACGCATTCATAAAAATAAAAGGTAATGCACAAAACACTGCTTTAGCAATTCCACAGAACAGTTAAAAAACTTGCCGAACCGGTAGCAACAGCCTAGAAATGAGAAAGAACACTTCTTGTTAGCTTCAAATATAAAAATCCGCTAAAAGTTCCTTGCACAACCCTATTACCGCCAGCCAGTTTCCTCCGCAACGCGCCAATAGCCCCCTTCCGATACACACATTGTGCTGATATCTCCGGGGATCATTGCATACAGCTAAGCCACATAAAGAACAATACAAGCTGGACACAGAAAACACACTCCGTTCTTCGTGCAGGCCCAGCAATCGAGTGCCTGCCTCAGCCCTTGCGCCTCTCTGTACGCGCACGCATTTTTCTTTTCCAGATGCCCACACGTCACAGATCTCTTAATGGTTAGTCTACACTCGCAGACGCCAGTGACGTCCGCGGAAAACATCCCAAAAATGCGGAAAAGCTAGGCGGCGCTAGCAGTGTCCGAAATGGAAGCCCACGGCAGCCTCTCTTGCAAACGTGTTTATAAGGCTTCTGAATAAGGAACTGACCCATAAGGCTTCTTGATGGGTCAGTTCCTATTCCATTTAGAAGACATGCAATTCTTGTTGGTCTGTGTTTGAAAAACGACGTGGTGTTAAAGAGTATGCAGTTAATTAGTCGAGGTCTTCACTGCCTCACTGAACCGAGCTTCTCTTCTACAGCTATCATTAGGCAACGCTGTTAAGAGTGTTGGGTGCTCTGAGAGCCCGTGCCGTGAAGAGATGGGCTTATTGAGCGAGGCCGTAACCGACACGTATCAAACCAGCGCTCGGAATTTATTTTGTGTCGAGGATTATCTAACTATTTACAATTACAAGGGGCGCCACAGCCCCAGTGTAAGAAAATTGACAGAAACAATATGTGAAAACCTCTACATCTTTTTCCCATAAAAAAGATGGGGAGTGAAGGCAGATTGCAAAATTTAGGTCCACAAATCAAAATGAGCCTGCGTAATAATACGTCCGCCACTCTATGTCATCACAACACCATCTCCGTCCCGTGGGACTGGGACCGGTTCCGTAACAGGTCGCGGCTCTGTCGGGTTTGCAGGTTGTCGAGGTGAATGCGCAGCTCGTCGAGGAGCTGCGTTGGCTCAGGTAGATTCTAAGGTTGTTCTCCCTCGCCGAAACGCGCAAAATGTCGACGGTTTCGTCGAAGGACACCACAACGTTCTGTTTTTACAACTTAACACCCTGCTCGCTGATCACAACTCCATAGCCTAACCCGAACTTGTTCAGGTCTCGCCCACACTTGTTTATCAGCTCAAAGTTACGGTAGGCCCCTCCCCGCATGACATCGGTTGTAGTATGCAGTTTGTTCTTTCTTGTAGGCTACATCTCTGCTTGCGACCCTACATTTTGGAGACCAGTTTGGACTGAAATCTTCCTTCTTTTATTAAAACTCGAGTTCCCAGCAACCTTCCCATTAACATTTGGGCAGGATGGAATACATTCACTCTCGGTGTATCCCTGTAGCTGAGAAGAACTAGACGAGGATCCCCTGCCTTCGGAACAAGTAGTTTACTGTCCGGATCTTTCTTTCTGTCTCTCCATTCGGTTGCGAGAAAAGAGACCTGCTTGTCATATGCTTGAAGCCATAGGAAGTTGCGAAGAATGCAAACCCCCGTTATGAGAATGGCGGACCATTGTCGGACCTCGCTCGTTGTGGACTTCCATGGCGAGCGAACATGCTCTTGAGTTTGCCGATAACAGTTCGCGCTGTCATGCATCTCTGATCACTATCCTTATAAAGCTATAGTAGCAGTCCACCGCTAGCATGACAGTTTTTTCCTCAATATAAAAATATATTCATGCCTAGCATTTACCACGGACGACCAGCAATGCTTTGGGGATCAACTATTCCGCCAAGTTAACACGCGTAGAGGCCCATTGTTCGCAGTTAGTTACCACAGAAACGATATCGGCGGTTATTTCGGGTCACAATAACAATTCACAAGCCCGAGCATTGCTACGATTGATGCCTTTGTGTCCCTCGTGTATCACCAACTTTAGCACTGACAGCTGTAGTGAAGAAGGTATGCCTAAACGGCCGGGCACCTTTAAAGAGAAGACCGCTACAGACGGAGCTCCATCACCGAAGTATAATTTCCGAGTTGCCGCTGTAAGTTGGATTTCTGTGGCCACCCGCGCTGGTTATAGAAAATAAGTGCATTGCACTCGACATTGGAACCTTGCGCTTTCCTCAAGTCCTCCTAGTTGACCGGCAGCACTTCGGATGCGCAGATAACTACCTCTTTTGTGGGGCGTTCCAGAGTGTCCTGGGGACACGATGCCTTTGGACGGATCCGTGGCAAGATATCCGCTGTAGCCAATAGTTTTTCAGGCACGTAGAACATCTGGAACTGATAGCGCATGGTCTTGAGCCTGGAGGTAGTATCTTAAGCTCCATTTTGCCAAACAGCGAAACGAGTCATTAGTGGTTCCTCTCCACATCATCTCCTCTCGAATATACGTATCATGTCCGCGATAAACTCATTGAATCAGTGAATGACGTAAAATACTTAGGTCTAACAATTAACACGAAACTTAGCTGGGACACCCAGATAGACAATACTTGCGCCAAGGCCTACAAAAAACTGTGTTTTTTAAGAAGGAAATTGGGAGCGTGCAATTGGACTGTAAAACTTTCATCCTATAAAGCCCTAGTTCGCCCAGTTATAGAATATGCGTCAATCGTGTGGGACCCATATTTAAAGAAAGATATAGAAAAGGTGAAGAGGATTCAGCGACTAAGTGCACGATTTATTTTTTCTGATTTTAGGAGCCTCTCCTCGGTTTCTGAAATGTTGAATAGATGTGGGCTAGAATCTCTCGAAGCCAGGCGGAAATTTGCAAGATTAAGTTTTTTTTATAAAATTTATCATAACGAAACTGGCTTAAGTAAAGACTTGTATATTCAGCCACCTCCTCAGCGCTCAGCAAGGCTAAACCACTCAAGAAATGTTAGACAATATGCTCCTAGAAATAATCTATTTAAGTATTCGTTTTTTGTACGAACCATTGAAGAGTGGAACTCACTGCCGTCAGACTGCGTGAACGCTTCAACATCCAATAGTTTTGATTCCTTTCTTATAAACATGTTGTAACCTTCTCCTGCTAGGATGGTGGAAAACCATCCGCAGTATTTCCTAAATAAAACAAAAATAAAAAAATAATTGATACCGCAGACAAACTCGTCAAAGCGCTCGATAGATTGCACCATAGCCAAGGCCTCATTTTTCTCTTTGACTGTACCGTTGCTCTGTATCAGTCATTGACTGCGAGGCGAAGGCGACTGGTCGGTGTTCTCCTGATAGCTGAGTCTGCAGCAAAACGGCACCCAGTCCAAAAGAACTTGCGTCCGCTGAAATCGTTGCGGCATCCACTGGGTGGTGTTGGACAGGCACCCGATGAATGGGAGAAGCTCTTTGGTATTGGTAAACACTGCCTACTGCTCATTATGCCAAGTCCGATTTGTGGTTTCTTTCAGGCAACCCGTAGTCGACAGTGACGTCACAGATGTCTGTGCCAAAATTTGGCTAGGTTGTTAACTGTGATGATTTTGGGGTCAGCAAGGTGGGAGCAAACAAATGAAGAAGAGAAAGAGACAAGAACGAGCAGTTTGCACGAGAAAAAAGACTGAAACGAGAGACGAAGAGGAAGTAAAAAACGTGTTCGGGACGGACAGGGCAATCGTCAAGCTCATGGGGGCTAAGACTTGCAGCTATACGCAAGGTCTTCACCCCACGTCGAAGTCTTGCAGCTTTACGCAAGACATATCGTTCCGCCAAGACGGCACAACCAAACCCGGACTCCGCCGCTGCACCACCAACGTGAAAATGAACTCTGATGAAGCTCGCCGCATCCGTGAACTGTAAGACTTCCATTAGTATCGGTTCTCTTTTTTTTCCCTTTTATTTTTGTACTTATGTCATTCGCGCTTAAATCTTGTGCTTTTTGTTTTAATCATTGTATTATCTGCCGAAATCTAAAGTTTATTTTTCTTTCTATCTATCAAACTGGTCTCGATATCCTTTCTCTTCGCGTCGCATACCTGCGAGAGTGAAATAGTCCACTACATTTCTGGTGTCCGCGACAGGACTGCTTTTAATTTCCACCTCAAAGAGCTCCACCTCGCTAGTGTCCGCGTCGGTTGAGAATGGATCTTGAGAAGTTAACGGTAATTGGTAAAGAATTGGGTTTCACAGGGGCTTCGCTAAAGCAATGGATAGACAAAGAACGCGCACGCGAAAGAGAGGAGCGTCTAACAGAACGAGAAAGGACTCGAGAAGTGGAAGCTCAAACGAGCGCTCGTTTAGAAGCAGAACGCACTGTGCTAGAGCTGACGTCGCGGTTACAAGAGCAGCAAGGAGGATCGATCGCTCGGGTTCCAGATGCATCTGATCAGGGTACGTCTCCTAGTGTCGCGCAGGGGTATCGAAGTCCACATAAACTTATACCTCCCTTTAACGAAAGGAGCGATGAATTGGATGCATACATCCAACGTTTTGAGCGGGTGGCAACAAGTCAAGGATGGCCGCCGGAAAAATGGGCCTTGTCCTTGAGCCTATGTTTGAAAGGAGAAGCGTTAAGCGTAATAGGACGCATGGCTGCCGACGATGCCATGGACTATGATAAACTGAAGCAGACCCTTCTCCAACGATTTCAATATACTGAGAAAGGATATCGTGTCCAGTGCAGGGAGGCGAAACCAGAGAACTCCGAAACGGGAAGACAATTTTCTGGTCGTCTATTAGGTTATTGTGACCACTGGCAGGAGATGGCAAGGACGGAGCGCACTTATGACGCACTTCGGGACAAAATTGTCTCCGAAGAGTTTCTGAACAAATGCCACGAGAAACTAGCAATTTTTATAAAGAAAAGGGGCTGCCAAGGGCTCGACAAGCTAGCAGAAACTGAAGACCACTACCTCGAGGCCCAGGGGCTGGTCAACCTCGGCAAAAAGAAAGAAGAGACTGACAAGCCGACAGGGCAAGTTAGGATGTCTGATCCTCAAGGTGCAAAGAGAAATCTGCAGTGCTTCCTTTGCAATAAACAAGGCCATCGGGCAGCAGACTGTTGGGCAAAATCAAGAGGACCCGATCAGAAGACGAATTTCTGCTGGAAATGTCGCAAAAACCGGCATAAAGCTGAGGCTTGTCCGAAGAAGACAGACGGTGGTGGACAGGCGTCATGTTCTCTGACACGTCAGAAGGATCGTAACGTCTACGGATCTGGAAGTCGTCCATCTGAACGCCTTGCTGGGAAAGCTGAAGAGGACAAAACGGGAACTGACGTTCAAGCAGACGGCATGCCCACGGCTACAGGACTACTTGAAGGTCATCAGGTCACCGTCCTGCGAGATTCTGGGTGTAACTCGGTCATAGTCAAGCAGTCACTGGTTCCTGACGTCAAATTTACAGGACGAAACCGCGTTATCATCCTGCTCGACCGGACAGAATTGTGTCTGCCTGAAGCGGTGGTTGACATTGATTCCCCCTATTTCCAAGGCAAGGTGACAGCGACCTGCATGGAAAATCCTCTCTATGATGTCGTTTTTAATAATAATTGGGTTGTGTGTGTGTGTTTATACAGCCTAGAACGTGGTCTGCCTCACAGGGGCGACGAGTCTCCCAGCTGTAGATGAGAAATTTAGCCAGTGCGGTACAGCCGCTAGCCTGGGGTCTTTAACGTGCATCACGCAGTAGTGATACACGACCGCACGCCGGTACGATGCTCATCCAGATCGAAACGGGCAGGGGTGGGGCTCGAACCCAGGATACCTGGGTTCTGCAGCGCGAGCTTTCGCTCCACGTGCTCCGAGCTGGTGTGCGCTAGACCACTCGGCCACCGATCCCCCCGATGTCGTTTTAGGAAACGTGGATGGTGTGCGGGATGCCTCCAATCCTAACGTTATATGGAGTAGTCAACAAGACACTCCTCTTCAAGGGGAGAGGACAGCTCCAGTTACTGAGGCAAGCGACTGTGGCAGTTCAATAACTCAACCAGTTCTCATTGAGACGGGCCTTTCATCGGCTGCCACAGAGCCAAACGAGTCACAGACCGGGGCCGCAGCTAAGCTGGCCTCGCGAAACTCTGGTCAATTACCTGTGGCGGTAGTGAATCCATTGGCCATCAACTCGACGGAGCTGAGCGCCAAGCAGAGAGAAGACAGTACCCTCCAAGATGTTTTGAAGCGGTTGGGAACAAAGTTGCTACAAGATCAGCTGACATTGAGGTCACACTAATCAACGGAACTCTGTTTCGACGGTACAAATTGCCATCAAAGAAGAAGATGGAACAGCTCGTTGTTCCAAGCCATCTCCGGGACTTTGTGCTGAAAATGGCGCACGAGGGAATTCTCGCTGGACATCAGGGAATTAAACGCACGACAGATAGAATCCTCGAGGAGTTCTACTGGCCAGGAGTTCAAGGAGATGTTTCTCGATTTGTAAAGTCGTGCGACACCTGCCAGAGAACTGTCCCAAAGCACCTAGTAGGCCGCGTACCTTTGGGCAACGTGCCAGTCATCGAAACACCATTCCAGCGGGTCGCCATCGACATTGTGGGAACCCTATCTCCAACATATGAGAAGGGAAACCGCTATGTACTCACCATGGTTGACTTCGCGACGCGCTACCCTGATGCGGTAGCGTTAATAAGTATTGAAACGGAGAAAGTCGCCGAGGCTTTGCTAGAGACGATCTCATGTGTGGGATTTCCCAGAGAAATCATTAGCGATCGCGGCAGATCGTTCATGTCTGGGCTCATGAGAGAGTTCATCCGGTTGCTTTTGCTTAAACATATGCCAACCACGCCGTACCATCCTATGGCAAACGGACTTGTTGAACGTTTTAACGGCACGCTGAAACAAATGATCCGGCGAATGTCTCAGGAAAGCCCCAAGAGCTGGGACAGATACTTGGCACCACTGTTATTTGCATATCGTGAAGTGCCACAGACCTCCCTCGGGTTCGCACCTTTTGACCTACTGTACGGTAGCTACGTCAGAGGACCCATGGCCATATTAAAAGAGATCTGGTCAGGAGAGAGTATCGACGACGAGACAAAGACTTCGTACGGCTACATGGTCGAGCTTCGGAAGCGCTTAGACGACGCGTGCCGAATAGCCCAAGAGCAGCTCAAGAAAGCTAAGATGACACAGAAAACCTATTATGACAAGAAGACAAGAAGGCGCCCGCTCACTGTTGGAGACAGGGTCCTGCTCCTTTTGCCGTCTGACACCAACAAGCTGATCCTGACCTGGAAAGGCCCCTTCACTGTCTTAGAGAGACAAAATGACGTTGACTATGTCATCGACCCTGGAACAAGAACCAGCTTGTTCCATATCAACATGCTGAAAAAGTACGAAGAGAGGACAATCGTTGATCAGACACCTCAACAAGCTTCGGTCGCATTCCATGATGGGAATGTTGAGGAAGAAGACCTCCCGTGTGCAACACTGCAACAAAACGAAACTTATCGAGACGTGAAAATATCAAAGGAGCTGACTGCCGATCAACGAGCACAAGTTTCCAGACTCCTGACAATATACCAGGAAAGTATGTCAGATGTCCCAGGAAGGACCCACCTGGTAGGGTGCAAGTTGAAAGTCACGACCGATACTCCTATTCAAGTCCATCAGTACCCCATACCATTCTCCATCCAAGAAACGGTACAGGAGGAAGTAAAAGAAATGCTACAACGGGGCATCATTGAGCTCTCCGAGTCACCCTATCAAGCACCCATCGTGATGGTAAAGAAAAATGACGGGACAATGCGACTCTGCATTGACTTCAGACAACTTAACAAGGTCCTGATTCCCGACAGTGAACCTATCCCTAGAGTGGACATGATGTTTGCAAAGTTGGGAAAAAGCCGGTACTTCTCGATGTTTGACTTCTCTAAACGATACTGGCAGGTTCCGATGCACGAAGATTCAAAGCATATGACAGCTTTTTCTTCCACGTCTGGATTTTATCAATTTCGATTTATGCCCTTTGGCATCAAAACAGCACCAGCTGTATTCACCCGGCTTATGAGAAAAGTGGTCGACGGGGTCTCGAACATCTACCACTATTTTGATGATGTCCTCATCGCCACGGTGTGCTAAGAGGAGCATTTAACGACTCTGGAGTTGTTCTTCCAGCGCGTGAAGCAGGCGGGTTTAATAATCCGTCCCACAAAAAGCGAAATTGGTTTCCCATTTGTCAAATTTCTTGGCCACATCGTTGGACATGGTCTCCTGCGCCCTCAAGTCGAGACCCTGGAGAAAGTGCAAGCTACCAATCGACCTGAGACAAAAAGGAAGTGCGATCTTTCCCTGGCCTTACGGGCTACTATAGGGATTTCGTACCCCAGTACTCTGAAGTCTCTCACCCACTTACGGAGCTGACACGTAAAAGAGCACCAAACAAGGTGCATTGGGGGAAGAGCGAACAGCTGCCTTTTGACAAACTAAAAGAACTACTGTCCAGCCAGCCCATCTTAAAAGCCCCAGAATTATCAGAACCATTAGTGTTGCGTACCGACGCTTCGTCGAGAAGCATAGGAGCCGTACTCATGCAGCGCCATAATGATGTTCTTCATCCCGTATCGTACGCAAGTCGTCGACTGCTGCCACGTGAAGCTGCCTACTCTACAGTGGAACGAGAAGGACTAGCCATTACTTGGGCAGTTAAGAAGTTTCATGTGTTCTTATTTGGAAGACCATTCATTCTGCAAAGTGATCATCAGCCACTCGTTTACATCAATTCTGCAAAGCATGTAAACAGTCGCGTATTACGTTGGAGCCTAATGCTCATGGAATATGACTTTACTGTTGAGTACATTAAGGGTAGTAACAACGTGGGCGCTGATTACATGAGCCGCATGTCTGTTGCTGAATAGGACTTTTTTGTAAAGGAACAATATCACGAATTTACAGAATTTTTGGAATTGTATATGTGCCCGGCGGTGCTTACTAAGTGACTTTTGTAAATGTATGTACTTTTGTGTCTGTCAAAAGTGGTGTGTTTTTCAGTGTGCATTGTGTTGTGATAGACTGCGAACAGTATGACTTAAATCGTGCTAGAAGTTGTTTCAGCTGAACAACATTCTCAAGGGGGGGGGGGGGGGGTGTGATTGTGATGATTTCGGGGTCAACAAGGATGGAGCAAGAAAATGAAGAAGAGAAAGAGACAAGAGCGAGCAGTTTGCACAAGAAAAGAGACTGAAACGAGAGACGAAGAGGAAGTAAAAAAGGTGCTCGGGACGGACAGGGCAATCGTCAAGCTCACGGGGCCTAAGGCTTGCAGCTATACGCAAGGTCTTCACCCCACGTCGAAGTCTTGCAGCTTTACGCAAGACATCGTTCCGCCAAGACGGCACAACCAAACCCGGACTCCGCCACTGCACCGCCAACGTGAAAATGAACTATGATGAAGCTCGCCGCATCCGTGAACTGTAAGACTTCCATTAGTATCGGTTATCTTTTTTTTTTCCTTTTATTTTTGTACTTATGTCATTCGCGCTTAACTCTTGTGCTTTTTGTTTTAATCATTGTATTATCTGCCGAAATCTAAAGTTTATTTTTCTTTCTATCGATCAAACTGGTCTCGCTATCCTTTCTCTTTGCGTCGCATACCTGCGAGAGTGAAATAGTCCACTACATTAACCATTCCAACTAGCCGTCTGACCCCTGCGACGTCCTTCGCCGGTTCCATGGTTGTGATACCATCGAACTTCTTTAGATCTGGCCAGATGCCGTCGGCTGAGACAATACCTCCGAGGAAATAAACTTCGAAACCTACAAATCAAGAGACGCGATGCCGCCCTTCGCGATGCCGTCCATCGCGTTTCTTCTGGGTATATCCGAGCAGGAGAATGTCATCAATTATGTTACCCACGTTGTCTTGACCTTCTAGAACTCTGGCCATTTGTTTCTCAAAGTACTCTGGCGCTGAGGTGATGCCCAATAGATAATGACGAAAACGATAACGACCAAAGGGAGTGATGAAGGTCGTGAACTCCTCTGTGTTGTCTGCCAGCCCGACCAGAGGAATCTCGTGGTAGCGTGAAACTTCGAGATGACGGCCGCATCACCCAGAAGACCGAACACCTGCTCGAGAGTCGGAAGAACACGACGCTCTCCGAATACCACGTGGCTTAGACAAGTAAGGCAGACGTAGAGCCGATATGCTCCTGTGGGCTTCGGGACGGCGAGTCCGGAGCACTATGGGGTTTGATTTGTTTACGCGGTGAATCGCTTTGTCGCTCTTCAACTTGTTGAGATTGTGCATGACGAAATCTCTCAGCGGTATAGGAATTCGGCGAGGCGCGTTGAGTGAGAGTGGCACGGCGTCTGGATTGGTGGTGTATTTTGCTTTAGTGCTTCCAGTCCGCAAAACAGCTCGATATGGTTAGATTTTTCGGGAAACTGCATAGAAAAAACATATTCTACAATCTTGAGAGCTTCAATGGTCAGCATATCGAGAAGTGGAACCGAGGGTAACTCGATGACGTAGTGTCGTTGGGAGCTTGTATTTTCTTTTCGCTGCAGTCGGGCCAGATACAACCCCAGTACACGCAGCGGTTGATTTCCAGGTTCCGTTAATAGGCCCTCGACCTTCTCAAGCTTTGAGCGTCACTTAGTAGGCAGACACCTCCGCTTCAAAATGCACCTTGAGTTTTGCGGTGACGTCCACGTACCTTGTCGCGTGCAGGTGGATAGAGCTTGGCTTGCTCTGCTTGGCTTTTCTTGAACCACACACCTTGGCAAAAGGAGCTTTCATATTGAAGTAATTGTAGAGCCAGTTTTGTGCTTGGCACTCTGAACGCGCGTAAGGCTCGCGACCGCAGAATGAGAAGGGCGATGAGCCACAGCACTTCTCTGCTCTTGCTTTAGCTCCAGTTGCACGTACTGGCTTGGCTTGCGTGCGTCGACGAAAAAAAAAAAAAACCTGTGTTCTTTGTGGCGTCAAATTGGACCCCACGGGAGACCGCTATACTTGGTCGAGCAGACGATTCCTTACAATCAGCGTGTTCGGACTTGTGTGCTTGAGTGCATACCTTGTTGAATTTAAGCTTTGCGTTCCGGCACAGCTATACCTTGTCTCACCTTAGCATGGACTGAGTGTGAAGGCAGTGAAAGCTCAAGTGGCTAGCCTTGACTGCCTTGACTGGAGCATTCGCTGTTCGAGCGCTCGTTCGGCCGCCGAGGTTTCATCGAATGCAACTGGCTTGTGCTTTTAGCATAAGCGGCTAACAA